GCCGTTGATGGTGTTGTTGTTATCGTTGTCGTTGTCGTTGTCGTTGCCGTTGTCGCTCTTGTTGTTGTCGTCGTCGTCGTCGTCGTCGTCGTCGTCGTCGTCGTCGTCGTCGTTGTTGTTGTTGTTGTTGTTGTTGTTGTTGTTGTTGTTGTTGTTGTTGTTGTTGTTGTTTACTGTCGTCGTCCCACCCGCGACCCACCCGCGACCCGCCCCGCCACCCGCCCCGCGACCCACCCCGCGACCCGCCCCGCGACCCGCCCCGCGACCAACAGCGACCCGCCCGCGACTCATCCGCGACCCACCCGCGACCTATCCACACTGGTTCGACGAGAAAATCGGAGCCTGCGGCGGGCTCGTTGTATAATTTGTGAAACTTTGGCGCCTGCTCTCCGCAGTCTTGCAAATTGCCGACGCCCCCACCGCCCCCTCACTGTTCTCCACATGTGCGGGGCAAAAAAAATCATTGAAGCTACAAGCCTGGTTCCAACCCTCAGATTGCCCCCCTTTCCCTCCCGCCGCCCCCCGTTCACATTGTAACTGGCTCCTTGTCCCTAACGGGACGACGCACCATCTGCGCTCGCACGCCGGACGCGCATGGACTGACCGTCTGCAAGATTCACGAGTTTTCATCACGGCACAGGATAGTTAATGCACATGTACATACACAATGCACAAAATGGGTTGTATCACGTAGATTGCACCACAAATACGGTTCCACACAGGCTGCATCACATAGATTGCGCCGCGTGAGTTCTCCTTTCTACAAACAGAATGAGATCAACCCCCCCGGCGTTATGCGCCCCCTTTTTGGGTATGTAGATCATCTATGATTCTGACCCCATGTTCATCCTAAATATGGATTTATACTGTCCCGAAGGGGCCGGGATTGGTCCCCCTGGGGTTCTTTTGTAAAAAACGATACGCGTGGACATTTTTTGTTCTAGCATAAGTTTTTTTTTTTTGCGATTCCCTTGCAAAAAAAGGGATCAAGTGCGCACGCGCGTGTCGTCGCGCGCGCATGTTGACATCCTTCAAAAACCTTTGGTGCCGGAGAGATTTCGCAATCGAGCCTTCAAAACACATGCAATTCGCAACACCGATTTGTTAAAACAACTTACGCGCGAGCTCTTGCAAAATCTTAAGAAAATCTCAGGTTTTCAATTCAAGATTTTCGCGAAATTCTACCAAGCGGCCTTCGCGCGCGCATGTCGGAATCTGTCGAACGCCCGTACGCGTGTGCTGTCGCGAGAATCCTCAGCAAAAATTGTCCTCTGTCTGTTCTCGTGTTCGTCGTCGTCGTCCTGTTTGGCGTCGTGGTCGTTTCCGTCGTAGTTGTCGCCGTGGTCGTCCTTCCTCCTCCTCCCTCGTCGTCGTCGTCGTCGCCGTCGTCGGCGTCTCGTCGTCGTCCCTCCTATTTCGTCGCCGTCGTCGTCGTCGTCGTTGTCGTCGTCGTCGTCGTCTTCCCTCCTCCGTCGTCGTTGTCGTCGTCGGCGTCGCCGCCCTTCCTCCTTTTTCGTTCGCGTCGTCGCCGTCCTCCCTCCTCCCTCGTCGTTGTCGTCGTTGTCGTCGTTGTCGCCGTCGTCGTCCTCCCTCCTCCCTCGTCGTCGTTTTCGTTGGCGACGTCGTCGTCGTCTTCGTCGTCGTCGTCGACGTCGGCGTCGTCGTCGTTTTCGTCGTCGTCGACGTCGGCGTCGTCGTCGTCGCCGCTGCCGTCGTCGTCGTCGTCGTCGTCGTCGTCGTTGACGTCGTCGTTGTCGTCGTCGTCGGTGTCGTCGTTGTCGTCGTCGTCGGCGTCGTCATCGTCGTCGTCGTTGCCATCGTCGTCGTCGTCGTCGTCGGCGTCGGCGTCGTCGTCGTCGTCGGTGTCGTCGTCGTCGTCGTCGTCGTCGTCGTCGTCGGTGTCGGCGTCGAAGTCGTTGGAGACGTCGTCGGTGTCGTCGCCCAGCTGGGATGTGCCCAGCAGTCAGCGCCACCGCGGCCGCGTCGGTCGCGCCAAACTAGCTGGCCGCTGCGCGCGCGTTTGGGTTGGCGCGGCCGCAGCAGCGATGGGCCAGCTAACTCCAAACAGTCACCGCAATCGTCACCACATGGGTTTTGCAAGACAAGTTGCGCGTGGGTGGGTGGGATGTTTGCAAGAGCGTGGGCTGTGTCAACTCGTTTGTTAAAATCACAACAAAAAGAATAGACCCTACCCCCCCTAGCGTTATCCGCCCCCCTTTCGGGTATGTAAATCATGTAGGATTCTGACCACATGTCTATCCTAAATATGAAGTTACACTATTCCAGGGGGGCCGGGATCGCTACCCTTGAGGTTCCCTTGTAGAAAACAATGCGCGGGGACATTTTTTGTTGTAGCAAACGACTTTCCACGAATCCCTTGCAAAAAACGGGACGAAGTGCGCACGCGCGCGTCGTCGCGCGCGCATGCCGAAATCCTTCAAACACCTTCGGTGTCGGAAGGATTTCGCAATCGGGTTTCCAACAAACATAGAAGAAAAAACACCGGGTTTTGCAACATTGATTTGCTAAAAAAGCTTACGCGCGAGCTCTTGCGAAATCTTAAGATAACCATATGTTTTTTTCAAGATTTTCGCGAAATGCTACCAAACGGGCTTCTCGCGCGCATGTCGAAATCTGTCGAGCGCCCTTGCGCATGTGCCGTCGCGAAAACTTCTGCAAAAGATGGGACGAAGAACAGACGCTCGCGTCGTCGCGCGCGTATGCCGAAATATTTCAAAACCCATCAATTTCGGAAGGATTTCAAAATCGTGTGTCCAACAAACCTACAAAAACCCACGGTTTCGCAACACGGATTTTCAACAAAAGCGTGCGCGCGCGCTTTTGCGTCGTCGTCGTCGTCGTCGTCGTCGCCGTCCTCCCTCCTCCCGCGTCGTCGTCGTCGTCGTCGTCGCTTACGTCGTCCTCAGTCTTTCCTCGTGTTCGTCGTCGTCGTCGTCCTCTTTGGCGTCGTGGTCGTTTCCGTCGTCGTGGTCGCCGTGGTCGTCCTTCCTCCTCCTCCCTCGTCGTCGTCGTCCGTCGTCGGCGTCTCGTCGTCGTCCCTCCTATTTCGTCGCCGTCGTCGTCGTCGTCGTCGTCGTCGTTGTCGTCGTCGTCGTCGTCTTCCCTCCTCCCTCGTCGTTGTCGTCGTCGGCGTCGCCGTCCTTCCTCCTCCTTCGTTCGCGTTGTCGCCGTCCTCCCTCCTCCCTCGTCGTTGTCGTCGTTGTCGTCGTTGTCGCCGTCGTCGTCCTCTCTCCTCCCTCGTCGTCGTCTTCGTTGGCGACGTCGTCGTCGTCGTCTTCGTCGTCGTCGTCGGCGTCGTCGTCGTCTTCGTCGTTGACGTCGGCGTCGTCGTCGTCGCCGCCGTCGTCGTCGTCGTCGGCGTTGTTTTCGTCGTCGTCGTCGGCGTCGTCGTCGTCGTCGTCGTCGTCGTCGTCGTCGTCGTTGTCGTCGTCGAAATCGTTGGAGACGTCGTCGGTGTCGTCGTAGTCGGTGTCGGCGGTGCCGTCGTCGTCGTTGTCGCTGTCGTCGTCGGCGTCGGTGTCGTGGCCAAGTGCCATGTGGTACCTACCGTCACGGTCTTGTCTTAAGAGGTCTCGCGACCAGGTTGCGGGTGGGAGGGCGGGATGTCTGCACGAGCAGCGGAGAGGACAGCTTCAAGACGGTCAAAGTGGATTCTCCTTTCTAAAAACATAATAGACGTTACCCCCCGCCCCCGGCGTTATCCGCCCCCCTTTCGGGTATGTAAATCAAGTATGATTCTGACCACATGTCCATCCTAAATATGAATTTACACTCGGTAGACCGTGCCACATGTACTGCCCCACGTGCGCTGCATCACGTAGACTGTGCCGCCCAGGTTGGCGTGGCACTTGCGCGCCCCAGGGAGGAGCCACCAAGGGGGGGCGTATCACGGGCCCCTTCGCGCCCAGATGGGGGCGGGATGTCTCGCGCGCTTCGCCCGTGTCGGCCGCTCGGGCCCCTCTCTTTCTGCGTCCCCAGGATCACCGCGATGTAGCTGGGATTTGATTTGGGCGCCCCTAAAGGGGGAGCCGCCAGGTGGTGTATCACGGGCCACTTCGCGCCCAGATGACGAGGATGCCTCGAGCGGTTCGCTGATTCCTGATTGGTTTCGTTGGAGCGCCCGTTGGAGCGCCCCATGAGGAGCGCGATGTGGGTGGCATTTGGGCAACCAAAGGGGGAGCCGCCAGGGGGTGTTGCACTTGCCCGTTCGCCTTGCAGAACGTGGGGAATTTCAAGCAAAACGCGGGTGTTGGCACCCCCAGGCCTTTTCTTTTCCGAGGCCACAGTCCACCGCGGTGCAGCAGGCATATCATTTGACCACCCTATGGAGCAACCGCCAGAGGGTTATAGATTTGCTGGTTCGCATGTGGAGACCAGGGATGCTCTGAACGGTTCGCCTGGTTTGGTTCGTTCACAGCTTCATGATGACACCTCGATGTAGGAGGCATAGCGCTTGTGCACCCCAAGGGAAGAGCCGACAGGCGATGTTACGCTCGCCAATTCGCGCCCAGATCGTGGGACGTCTCGGGCGAAACGCTGGTTTAGGCACCCCCACGTCCTCGCCTGCCATTTGGACGCTCTAAAGGGAGACAGCCAGGGAACGCCCAGCTGTCACAGGCTAAGATTCTCACACTCAGACGCTCACAGACGGGAACGTCAGGAACTGAGATGCGCATACGGGGATTTCTGCGCCGAACAAGTAGAGTCGAGTGCTCTTTTGAGAGCATCGTAGGATGTTCGGCGGTGCACTGTTGCGCATCGTGGGAACAGGTGCGGCATGTGCGGCTCACAGGTTTGGGTGGAGGAACTTGGCCAAGATCTGTCGGAAGCAGTTCAAATCTGCGACACACGCTGATGAGAGCGGGGCACGCTCCAGCGGTTTATTTCAGAGTGGTTAGGGGTTACCCCAAGCTTGCCGACGTTAATCAGAAGGACACTGCCCCGTACGCGCACCTGCTGATGAGGCGTGCCGTCTTTGCATGCCCGCCGAAAGCTCACTGCCGCCTGGGAGCATGGGGGCGGTCGACTGCGTCCACTCAGCGTTCGTCTCGTCTTCCCGCGGGTCCGTGTTTCCCGCCCCGTCGCTTCTTGTTCACGCTGCCAGGCGCAAGACACTCCAGGCTCGGTCTGTCCAGTCCGCAGACGGGGGCCTGATCCGTTTGGTCTTCCTGCTCCCCCCTCTGCACTTCTGCCTCTCTGCTCTCGCTTCCACTCCTCTTTTCTGTTCGTCCTGCTTCCTCCTCCATGCTCCGACTGCCAAGCTAGGGGCCACTTGTCGATGGCCAGTCGTGCCGCCCAGGAGTTGGCGGTGGCGCGTTGTCGACCCCACCGAGCGGATCTCTCGGCGCTCCCCTGCCCCTCTCCCCTCGCCTTTTCTCCCCTCCCCGCAGGAGGGTGAGAGGCAGGGGGGCAAGATCGAGGGCGGGATGCGGGGCGCCGCGCCCTGGCCCACAGAGGGGGGGGGCAAATCAGAGGAGGGTTTTGAAAACGAGCTAGCTGCTGAGCTCGCGCAGGGCGCGGGCAAGTTCAGGCCCGCCACGCGGAAAGAATACCTCTTCAGCGCGCACGAGTGCGAGGGCTGTGGCATGGCGACCTCCGTCGTTGGATGCTGCGCGCTGGTGGGGGGGATCGACGGGCAGGTGGTCTTTCTCTCTCTCTCTCTCTCTTTCTGTGTCTCTTTCTCTCTCCCTCTCTCTCTCTCTCTTTTTGTCGCCACTTATAGATATACCCCGTATGGTAGGCAGGCTTGTGCTAAGTCTACGCGGTGGCGATCCCAGCGTGGGCATTCAATGTTGAACGCCGCCAGTGGCCCAGAATCAGCCGTCAGACCGTGACGCTCAAGTCGGATCCACTCCACTGTTGAGATCCATCTTGCCATCGCCGTGAAGCCAGGCGCCGCACTTGGCCACCCCACTGGGGGAACCGCCACGGAGTCTCACTGGTGCCAGTTCGCGACCTCTGGGGGTGTCTCGGGCTGGCCGTCCGTCTTGGCTTCACCGACTCCTCGCGCTCGAGAGCGATCTCAGCACCGCGACGTAAGCACCGTAGCACTTGGGCACCCTAAGGAACAGCAAGATGGGGTATCACACATGCCCGTTCGCGACCAGATTGCGGGGATGTTGCCGGGGGTGCTCCCGTTGTGGCTTCGCCGACCCCTCTTCCTCGAGGGCCCCGTGATCGCCGCTGTGTAGAAGACACAGCATTTCGGCCCCCCAAGGGGGAGCTGGCAGGGCGTATTACAGTTGTCCGTTCGCGACCAGTTTCGGGGAGCCGCCGGAATTTGCTTCATCGTCTCGTCCCTTTTCAGAGCAAGGTTACTGTTATGTAGCAGGCGTCGCATTTAGGCACCCATGGTTGTTTTGGCTTCATCGGCGTCTCACTTTCCGCGGCCGCGTCGTCCACCGCGATGTAGCAGGCGCATCACTTGGGCACCCCGAGAGGGAGCCGCCAGGGGGTATCACACTTGCCACTTCGCGCCTACTATGTTGCAGGGGTGTCTCAGGCGAAGCGCCCGTGTTGGTTTCACCGATCCCTCTCCGTTCAGGGCCCCGTGATCACGGCGACGTAGCAGCCGCGGTATTTGGGCACCTCAGAGGGGAGCCGCCATGGGGCTTTCCGCTTGCCACTTCACGTCCAGTTTTTTTGGGGGGTCTAGAGCGGAACGTATGTCTTGGCTTCATCGACTTCTTTTTCTTCGCGGCTTCATGATCACCGCGACATAGCAAGCGCGTCATTTGGGCACCCCATGGGGGCACCAAGGAGTGTTGCACGGGCCCGTTCGCGCCCAGACAGTCCAGACCTTTCAGGGAAAGTACCCTTTTTGGTTTTGGACGCGTCAAGCCCTCTTCTCTTTTCCTTATCAATAGCTCCTCCTTGTTGCACTCCCAGGCGTGTCGGTAGGGCGGGTCGGGTGCTTCGCTTGAGACATCCTCACCATGTATGATCCTGAAGCTTGAATTTTGCAACAGTTTTGCAATTGGAAGGCGGGTCCTTCTCAAAACGTGGCTAGTCGCATTGGTGCCGCGCACACTCGCTTGCAAGTTCGGGACAGCTTCAATAATGGAAGGCGTCTTGTTTTCAAAATGTGGCTCTCGCCTTGGCGCCGCGCGCATTCGTCTGAACAGCTTGCCGCAGTTCTAAGGATGGAGGGCGGTTCCTTTTCAGAGTGTGGCTCGCCTCAGCGCCGCGCACATTCAGCTCAACAGTTTCCCAGCAGTTCTTAGGAGAAAGGGCGGTTCCTTTCCAACACGCGGCTCTCCCCTCAGCGCCGCGCACGCTCGTCTTAATCGCTCGAAGCAGTTTCAAGGATTCGTTTGGTTCAAGTCCAAGGAAGTGTGCTCTACCACAGCTTGGAGTTGTCAGGACGCAACGGTCACGTTTATTCTCGGCCCTGAAGTCCCATGACCGGAGTTCTGGCACGATCCAGCCTTGTCAGGACGCAACAGTAGCTTGGATTCGCGGCGTTGAAATGTCAGTGAATTGGTTTCTTTGGCGATGAAGATTCTCAAACGGTAGTCTTCCAATGGGGCACTCGCCGCAATGAAAATGAATTATGGTAGGGACCTGTGAAGATAGGATTTTGGGGGAGGGTTTATTGCAACATCATCGATGCGTCTTGGGTTCACCTTGGTCCTCCTTCTCGTCGTCCCCCCCAGGCCCTGCTCCGTCGTTCTCTCACCTGCTTCCTCCTCCCCCTTCCTTCCCCCTCTTCCCTTTTTTATCCTCTCTCCCTCCTGCTCTTCTTGTCTTCTTCCTCTCCAGGGGGTCCTTTGGGACCACAAAAAGCCCCACGAGACCCCAGCGGTGCCCAAGAAACCGCAGGAGGCCCCGAGAAGTTCCAGGAAGCTCCAGGAAACCTGGGAGGCCGATGGAGGCATCAGGAAACCACGGGATGCTCCATTAGGCACTCTCATGCCCAGGGAGTTCCCAGAAGGCTCCAGGACCTCCGACAGGTTCCAGGAAAGCTTGGGCCCCCCAGAAGGCCGAAGGGGGACAAGAAAACTTTCTAGGAGGAGGAGGAGGAGGAGGGGGAGGAGGAGGGGGAGGAGGAGGGGGATGAGGAGGAAGGAGGAGGAGGAGGAGGAAGAGGTGGAGGAGGAGGTGGAGGGGTGGCTGAGGAAACGCTTTAGAGCACCTGTGCTCAGAGGGCCCATGGGCTTCCGGCAGTTGCGGCCCTGTGCCCTTCGAGGAGGCTTTAAGTCTTCGGTGCAGAGAACTCGAAAGGTCAGCGCCTACGGCACAGTGGCGGATAGACATTTGCACACCGTACAGTGCCTGTACGTATGTGTGCACGTGCGCTGTGTGTATATGTATATATCTACATTCATGCGTGTATCATCATACTCCCCCCCCACGGATCAGATCTGAGAGGCGATACTTTGAAGCTGCTCGCGATGTTGTTGGCTCCTTCGCTCGGGCCACCCTCATCATTCTGAGAATCGGACGCACCCCTCACGCAGATCGCGACGTCAAATCCAAGACACAAAATGTTTCCAACATTATAACATACATTTTTTTCAGCACACAAGGTGTATCAAGGATTTTCGACGTCGCTCTTAGAGAAACAGCTGTTTCGCGGGAGGTATCCTCCACACATTGGCATCGGAGCTTCTATGCAACTGCAGTCGCAAAGTGTGGAACACCGTCCTGCGCCACACTCATCTCAAGGCTCCGCGCCGCCGCTGGATTCCCTTTTCTCAGAAAGTAATAGGATCTACTTCCCCCCCCGACTTAACTGGTCACCTTTTCGTATTGCAATTTGCGAATGTTTCTGCCCCATCGCCCATCCTAAGTATGGACTCGTACCATCCCAGCCAGGCTGGTATCCACCCCCCTCATCTTCGGCAACCATGCTATGCGCGCGCACTCGTTTCTCAAATCAGTAGTTTTCAATAATCCCTTCCAACAAATGGGACGAAGTGCGCACGCGCGCGCTGTCGCGCGCGCATGCCGAAATCTTTCAAACACTTCAGGTGTCGTAAGGATTTCAAAATTGAGTTCCCGAAAGTATCTAAGAACATATGGTTTCGCATCCCGAATTTTCAAAAGAAGCTTGCGCTCGCGCTCTTGTGAATTCTTATGACAGCCATCGGTTTTCCCACGCTTTTTAGTAACATGCTGCCAAACGGGCCTGTCGCGCGCGCGTGTCGAATTTGTTCGAACGCCCTTGCGCGCGTGCTGTCGCAAAAATCCTTTGCAACAGATGGGACGGAGAACACGCGCGCGCGTCGTCGCGCGCTTGCCGAAATCTTTCAAAACCCCTAGGTTTCGTAGGGATTTCAAAATCGAGTGTCCCGAACACATAAGCACAGGGTTTTGCAGCATCAGTATTCACAAGAGCGTGCTTTCGCTTGCGGAGAATTCTGAAGACAACCGTAGGTGTTCCAAAATTTTCGTTACACGCAGCCAGGCGGGCCTCTCGCGCCGCATGTCGAAATCATTCGAAGGCCCTTGCGCGCGTGCTGGGGGTGGGGGGGTGGGGGGGCACGATCCGTGTCAAATCATGCGGGCCACTCGCGCGTCGGCCGCGCGCGCATGTCGAACTCCGTCCACAACCTTCATCACCGACTCGAGGACGCCGTCATTGTCGCCGGCGTGATAAACATCGACGCCGGCACTGGCCACTGGCCGTGTCGTCGTCGTTGTCATCGTCGTCACCAGCATCGCTACTATCATCATCGTGTCTACCGTTGTCGGCGTTGCCATCATACCGCGCCCGCCCACGTCGCCGACTCGCAGTGAGGTGCCCGCCGGGAAGTGCCCAGCGGTCAGCACCAGCTCGGCCGCGTCGGTCGCGCCAAACTGGCGGGCCGCTGCGCGCGCGAGCGTGCGCTGGCATGCGCGGCCGCAGAGATGCGCCAGCCAATACCAAGCACTCAGCGCAATCGCAACCGCATGGGTTTGGCAAACCAGGTTGCGGTTGGGTGCGTGTGTGGGATGATATCGCGATCAGTGGAGTTTATAATTAATTGCGATCGCTGGTGACTTGCACCACACTTATTCGTTTAAAGTATCGACTCCCCCCCCAGACTTGACGGCCCCCCTTTTCGTATTGCAACTTGCGTATGATTCTGCCCGCTGTCCATCCTAAGTGTGAATTCGTACCATCCCCGCCAGGCCGATAATCCCCCCCTCCGTCCTTCACAAAATACTATGCGCGCGCACCCGTTGGCCAGAACTCGACAATTTTGAGAAACCCCTTGCAACAATGGAACGAAGTGCACGCGCGTGTCGTCGCGCGCGCATGCTCTAACATTTCGGGGGTCGTAAGGATTTCTAAACCGAGTGTCCCAAACGCGTATAACAACATATGGTTCCCCATCAAGGGTTTCCAGACCAAAAGAAAAGCTTGCGCTCGCGCTCTTGCGAGTTCTTATGGGCACCATCAGATTTTTCATGCTTCGCAGTGCTACCACACTGGCCTTTCGCGCGCGCGTGTCGGAATCGCCAGGACGCCCTTGCGCGCGTGCTGTCGCAAGAGCCCTTTGTAAACCTTCGAACGAAGAGCACGCGCGCGCGTCGTCGCGCAGGCATGCGGGAATTTTTCACAATCCTGGGTTTCTGTAAGATTAGAAATCCGAGCGTTTCGATCATATACGCAACACATGGCTTCGCAACAACAGCTTTCAAAACAACCTGCGCTCGCGGGCTTGTTTTTTTTTGTTTCGTTTTTTTGTTGTTGTTTTATTTGTTGTTGTTTGATTTGTTTTTCGTGTGTGTGTGTTTTTTCTTCTTTTTTTCCATGCCCACTACATTTTGCCAAGCGGGCGTGCGGGGGGGGGGGGGCACGATCTGTGTCAAATACCATGCGGGCCACTCGCGCGTAGGCCGCGCGCGCATGTCGAACTCCTTCAAAAGCCCTCATCACCGACGCGAAGACGCCGTCATCGTCGTCGGTGTGATCAGCATCGGTGCCGTCACTGGACGTGCCGCCGTCATTGCAGTCATCGTCACCAACATTTCGATTAACATCACCGCGTCTAACGTTGCCGACGTTGCCATGATACTGTGCCCGCCCAAGTCGCCGACTCGCATTCAAGTGCCCGCTGGGAAGTGCCCAGCGGTCAACTCGAACAGGGTGGGGACATTCCTCGGTGATACGGGCATTTCCTTTTATCGCGGAAGATTACCTAACCTACACAGGTCGACCGTTTTGGAATGGCCTTTCGGAGTGCAAAGGGGAAGGGGCCCCATGGGCTTCCCGAGTGTTGCAGATTTCAGACCTCCACAAATCGCAATCCCAGAAAGCCCCTGCCTCCCCGAGGGTGAGGGAGGGAGGGGGGGAAGGAGGGAGGGAAGGAGGGAGGGCGGGGCGGGGGCGGGCGGGCGGGCGGGCGGGCGGGAGGGAGGAGGAGGAGGAGGATGGAGGAGGAGGAGGAGGAGGAGGATGAGAGGAGGAAGAGGAGGATGAGGATGAGGGATAAGGGGACGATGAGGAGGAGGAGGAGTAGGAGGGGAGGAGGGGAGGAGGAGAGGAGGAGGAGAGGAGGAGGAGAGGAGGAGGCGGAGGAGGAGGAGGAGCGGAGGAAGAGGAGGAGGAGGAGGAGGAGGATGTGGAGGGAAAGGACGGGGAGGAGGCTTAGGAGGAGGAGGAGGAGGAGGAGGAGGAGGAGGAGGAGGAGGAGGAGGAGGAGGAGGAGGAATAATACTTTTAATAATAATAATAAGAAGAAGAAGAATAATCATAATAATAATAAGAAGAATAAGAATAATAATAATAAGAGTGCGAAGAATAATAATAAGAACAAGAAGAAAACACATAATAAGAAGAATAATTAGATTAAGAATAATAAGAATAATAATACTAATAAAAAGAAGAATAATAATAAGAATGCGAAGAAGACTAATAATCGGAATAATATTAAGAAGAATAAGAATAATAATAATAAGAAGAAGAAGAATATGAATAATAATAATAAGAAGAATAAGAAAACTAAGCATAATAAGAAGAATACTAAGAAGACTAATCGTAACAATAAGAAGAAGAATAATAATAAGAAGAATAATGGAAATACTATTAATAATAACCAGAATAATAATAATAATAATAATAATACTAAGAAGAAGAAGACTAATAAGAATAAGAATAATAATACGAATAACAAGAATAATAAGAATAATACGAATAAGAATAATCATAATAATAATAACAAGAAGAAGAATACTAAGAATAATCATAAGAATATCAATAATAAGAATACTAAGAATAATAATAACAATACTACTAATAATATTGATAATGATAATAATAATAAGAAGAAGAATAGTAATAAGAAGAATAATAATAATACTAAGAATAAGAATAATACGAATAAGAAGAAGAAGAAGAATACTAATCATAAGAATAATAATAAGAAGACGAAGACTAAGAAGAATAATAAGAAGAATAAGAATAATAATAATAAGAATAATACTAATAATAATAAGAAGAAGAATAAGAATAATAAGGATAAAAATAATAATACTAATAAGAACAAGAA